TTCACTGGGAAGAAATTACACTTCCTTTAATAAACACTGTGCTTTAGAGATGCTCTGATTTCTAAGGCAAGGTCTGTTTGTTGCTGAAGGCCCCAGAATTTGAGAGCACATCCGCTGCTCAGGTCTGTATCATCATAGTCTTATGATGGGCAAAAAATAGCTTTAATTATATTAGAAATAAATTGTTTATCTATGTAGTTGAAGAGTGCACCCAAAGGAAATTACAGCAAGAACAAGCCTTATGTCAATCTGACATTTGCTGTCTCTGCAGCAAACAGAGCCCACAAGCAATGGAACATACACTCCACAGCTTTAGGAGATCTGACAGCTAAGGTTAATGTGAAGAATAAACTCTCTGCCTTCACCAAGTGGGAAACAGCCACTGCTTGTTATTCAAAAGGATTTGACCATAGTTTGGATGATTTGTTCAAAAACCCAGCTACTAATTTACTCCTTGTGGCATCGTCCCAACACACAGTAAAAAACAAAAAAAAATCCCACTTCCTCATTCCTACAGCAGCATGGACTGAAATAAGGATGAGAGCTGTGATCTGAAGTGGGCCTCAACTGGTCCTGGACAGCAGCTGGATGAGCAGGACCAAAACCAGGAGTAAACAGTCGGAAATCCCTGAAGTTCAAGTAACAAAGATATGACAATAGGCAAGCTCAGCACAGACGCCATTTCCACTTCTCCCTGTGGAAACCTCACTTCCCAGTGGCACAGACAAGCCTGCCTGTGGAAACAGAGGTTGGCAGGCAAGGCCTGCCCATCTCACAGGGCACTGGAGGGAGGGTCTGCACCACTCTGTGCAATCTGGCCAGGATGGCACGGGCAAACATCACACACCAAATCAGGCTGGGGTTCTCCAAGGCCATGGAAAACAGAGCTGCCAGCACGACCATGGGAACTGCTGCCTAACACATCCATTTCCTTCCAGGGTTAAATCTTGCCTGCTGCCCACTGAATCTCCTGGGACTAACAGCTGCAGGGCTGGGACTGTCCCTTCTAAATGCTTTTCTCTCAGAGGGGAGTTGCTGGACCCTAGCAGAGTAAGCAACAGGTCCTGACGTCCATTCAGTTCAACTGGTTCTTCTGCTAGTTCTGAACAAAGCAAAAAATAAACAGAAAAAAAAGAGAGGAAAAGAAAACAAAAACAAAACAAAACAGTCAGCCACAAAGCTAAAAACAACTCCATCACTGGGGAGACAACTGCCTGTGTGACACTGGACACCAGGGTTTCCCCTCCTCCGAAGAACTTCCAGCAGCACTGGGATGTTTTACCCACTGGACAGTCACAAGTCCAACTAAATTCAGGTTGCAGCACCCACAGCACACACTGAGACATTGTCACACAGCAGAGAGGATAAAACACGGCTCTCTGAGCCGGCAGGCAACACATGCATTCTGTGGGTTACTTAAAACTGCAACAGATACATACCCAGCAGCACAGAGGCAATCTCACAGTAACAGAGTGAGTGAGATCTGCTCATTTCGTGTCCCTTGTATTCCAACTAGATGACAATAAATGTTAGACTTAGAGCCCAGCACCTCTTCAGCTGAAAAGAAAGGAAACTAATCCACGTCTGAGATCAGGGAAAATGTTAAGGAAGGAACCCATCCTCGAGTTTTAAGTATTTCTACTGAAATGGGTCATATACTGGCAACAGGCTGGTGGCTGCAGGAATAGCAATTAATAGGAGTGTCACATCAGGTCACAATTAATGCTGGAACCTCTGAGAAAGGCACATGGTCTCCACGGGATGCCAAAGCCTCCAGAGATAGCTAAGGAAGAAAGGCAGCAACCACAAGGGAAGAATCTTATCACAGACTGTTCTGCTGGATAAAAGCTCTAGAGTTACAGATAGAGAAATGTCAGGATCTTCAGCTCACAGCCAGTCCCACTTGGCAGGCACATCCCCAGCAGCACATGGGGTGCTCTGCCAAACCTTCTGCTGGATACACTGAACGGAAGAGGAAAACAACCCGGTACTCCTGGTCATGTTGCCCATCTCAGGCCTTCAGCACCAACCAGGCTGTGCTTGAGATCCGACACACTGAACGGAATCAAACCTTTACTAATTATATCTGAGCACGAGGGCTCTGTGCCCAGAATAAACTGTCCTATCATGCCACTCTCGGCAGACCCTGCCTCTCCCAGGGGAACATGTTGGGACTTGCTGGCTACTCTCCGGGGCTGGATTCCAGAGGAACAGGACTGATGACCCCAAAAGGAATTCCTATTCCTGCCTGGCGACCTCGCTCAGCTGCAGCCTCGGCTCAGTCCCCGCCGCGAAAGTGAAACGAGCCGTCTGCCAAGTCCAGTGACGAGGGACATAACTCCTGGCTGAGGTGACACATCAGCACCAAGCCACGAGGAGGATGAGCTTGCAGGGGAGCAGAGCTCTCCCATACCCAAAGCTCATCCCCCTGGCTGAAGCCTATCCGGCACAGAGCAAGACATTCCCGACACCGGGGCCAGCCCATGGCTTTCCCCAGAACCTGAAAAGCCAGTTTGTAGGCAGATCTCTTGCAAGTGGATTGCTTAAAA